GCATGATGTGTCCAAAACAAGCTGAAGGAGGATGACAACTATTAATTTGAAATGCTATTTGTGGCTTTCTTGAGAAAAAGTTGTTGAAACACTGTAATTGGCAGCTCACATTCTGTTTTTCCTGTTCTACTTGCTCTTTTAAGAGAGGGTTGGTGCCCCATAGTACAGTATCATTCCGATGAGACGCAGGGTGAGCCAACCAAGCCAGACTAAAGTATCAGAATAATAGCTCTGGGGAAGTTTCACCATAGTCACTGTCCATCAGAATTTTTAAATGCTTCACAGTACCGGCTGTTCCCAGTTATTCTTTGGTTTCTGAGTGCACACTCTCTTCCATAAGCTCCATTACAATGCATAAGAACTATACAAAAGAACTATCATTTTTACAGGGATTGGGAAGGAAACAATGCCAGAAATTATTGTACCATAGTTGTTCAAATACAAGTAGTTGTCAAGTTATTATCATTCATTCAGAGATTTTTTTGAAGTTACATATGACCCAGTCCTCAAAGTTCTGGCCATTGCAGCGCCCCTGCAGTCAGATGCACAAAATTTGGTGCTTGACAACCTTTGCAACATCCCAAAGTCATGTAATTGCTCTTGCTGACCTTCTCTGCTGGCTTCCCACAAGCAAAGTCAATGAGGAAGCTGGCAGGAAAAGTCAAAGGCTGCTAGAGTATATCTCCCCCCACAGGCCTTCCTTTGCTTGCATGAACTGCACCCTTCTTTCCTCTTTGCTTGCTTGTACCTATCAGTGTCATGCTATGGCTTCCCTGTACTCACTCACTCACACAAACCTCACATCTCCTTTCTCACTTCCCTGAGCTCACAACACACACCCTGGGCCCATTTCCCAGCACACATGCCACATGCACCCCCACACCCTCTTTCGCTGCCCTCCTTGAGCTCATGTTTCAGCACTACCACAACTCGCATACAGCCTGCATCGGGCCTCCTGAAGCCTCCCCCCACCCCCTGAACATTTCCACGTTCCTTACCTTGCATTCCCTGTTCTGTTTAATGACCTGTGTGACTTGGAGTTACAACTGGGATTGCCGGGCTTGTTGTTAAGCAATGTGGTCACATGATATTGCACTTTATAACCATATCGCTCAGTGATGGCTATCCCAGTCCCAACTGCCTTGGTAACTTAAGGAATACATTTACTCAGAGAATTTGGGATTCCTCCTTTAAAGTGTTTTTTGAGGTCTTGGAAAAATTGGTTAAGAAAATAGAAATGTTTTGGCTATTTGCTAAATCTTAATGTAGTTAGGGTTTTCTGTTTCTTCTATCAATGGTTTTTGAGCAAAGACTTCTATTCTTTAAGAATACTAACTTTATCTAAACAGAGGACTCTGTTACAAGGCATAAAGACATGAAAATAATGATACATTTATCATGTTATGCTTATACTCCCACACCTGATGCAGGTATATCAGTGATGTCACTCACACAATGTGTGAGTATGGTATGATTTGCCCCTTCTGCCTTATATATGGTTATATTACATATAAAAACTGATTTATTCTTTTCTATGCCTGGAATCTGAAGAGGAGACCAGAGAAATGGTGGTAAGATAAGCAACTCTACCACCTTCTGCAAATAAACAGTCTCAAGGGATGCATTTGTGGTGGATGAACTGATATGAAAATTAATAATTGTGTTGATTGTGTTAATGTGAAGTGCTGCTTTGGGAAAGTACAAATGAAAAGAGCACTGGGACCAAGTAACAATATAAATTACAACTCAGTTTTTTTATTTGTAGAAAAATTATAAAATAAATAAGTCATTGAGTTGTGTGAATATATTAAATAAGAAACACATTTACAATAATAGAAAACCTCTATACTTACATATTTACATTAAAAATCTAAAAACCATGTTTATCTTACATACAAGCTACTATCAGCTAACATAAGGCTATGTAGACTATTTTGATATAACTCCCATTACATTTCATAGTTTACTTAAACATGTGCATAGAACTATAACTTGAATTAAAATACCTCTTTGTGGAAGCGGTTTAGATCTGTAGAGAAAACATTGAAACTAATAATATTGCAAACTAAATTCAAGATGCTTTATCTTGCTTTTTAATACTCTTTAAAGAAAAATCCCATGAAAGTTGATAGTACAGTAGTATGTTCACACTGATCTTTGTTTTATTTAATAAATATTGTATCTGTAATATATATTTCCATAGTTTCATTATTTGCTCTTATATGGTAGAAGATGCTCAATTTCAGCAAAGCTTGGCTCACAGCAATTCTTTTTCATCCCAGAGAAGATGGGGGAGAAGCAGTTCTCACTAGTTAGTTAATTTTTTTTGGTTTGGTATGAAATCTGGAGTCTGATAGAATTTTTTAGTTGGAAAAGGGGTTATTAACGGGCATAAGCTTTCATCAGCTGCAGTTCACTCAAGCAAAAGCATGTGGTGGCTGGATTGATGTAGGATTTAACTTAGAGCTAAGGGGGAGCAGAGAGAAAAAGACAGGTTGGCTATGCAGATGCTGGTTACATGTGAAATTACTAGTATATTGATATGGTAGTAGATAAGAGCCAGGGGGAACAAGCATGAGAAAACAACAACAACAGTGCATTTGTTTAAAATAAAGTCTTTACATCAACCAAATCTCACAATTCTTATTGCTGAAATAGTAGGCCATTCCCCACCTTAAAACATAAAAGGGAAAATTGAACACTCTGGAATAGTTATGTTGCAGATGTTAAGGATTAGACTAATCTCAGGAAACAAAGCCACCAACAAACAACTCAGTTGGTTGGTAGTTTTGCAAACTGATTGCATCTCCCCAAACACATGTTTTAAAACCAGAGCAGCAACTTGGAAACCGCTCCAATTGCTTATGTACTTTCTAATGAGACAAAGCTGCATTCAACACTGGCACTTCTGGCCTGGCACATTTTCATCGAGCAAGCGGCAATCCTCCAGATGACAGGGTTGGAGGTGTGGGAGAAACAAGGCACGCCCTGTACCATTTGTCCCGGTTGGGAGTCATTGAGCTCTTTAAGCAGCGTGAGAGACTTACTCAAAGCCAGCTCCATTTCTGCCTTTCACCTTCATGGGTGTGTGTGGAACACAGCAAAGAATACAATCACAAGTGCCTTTCAGATTCATGCTTTCTCACATACTCTCTCAATCAGTTAATTTCTGCCAAAGGTAACATGTGCAAAAAAAAAAAAAAGAAGTATGTGGGGCAGCAGCTATTCGGTATTCTCCCACAATTGAGCAGTGCTGGCTGGTGTGCTGGCTGTTGTGAAACCAAAGCTGTTCATTCCTGCACATGCAGTCGCATGCTGACAATCGCCAAGAAGGGGGGGGGGAAGGACCACCCTCCTTGCAGCACACCTCTGGCTTGATGGCGAACAAAGTTTCAGGTTAGCCCTGATTTCTTGATTTGAATTTTTCAGAGATGCCTCCATGAATTAGTATGTGCTTCAGCGACAGCTTCTTTATTCTCTGGAAGAGGCAATCATGACATTAGCAGATGGGACACTGATTTCTGGAAAGCTGAACAAAGGAGGCATGCATTACATACACTACTAAACTTAAATTTTGTTAAAAGATCTTGGGGATAACTCAAAGATTTGGGTGACTATACAAGGAGCATGGTGTTATGGTTGGAGGTTAGCAATGCCCACACATGAGACCCGAGAGCTGCTGCATGGTGGTAGGCTCCTGTCATTTGCTCCAACTCCTTGACTGGGACATGAAAGGAGCCCCCAGGAGCATCCCCCAGGCAATGGTGATGTCACGGTTAATCCTTTCAATCCAGAAGCACCTTAAATGGTGCCTCTGACATGAATGGATGAGACGGGAGGTGACTGTGCAAACTGAACATCATCTGGGACCATCTGATAAACTTATCATAACTCAATTTTTTTCCCTGTATAAAATTATAAAATTATCAAGCCACTCAGCTGTGTGAACATACTATATTCAATAAAAAGCACATTTATGATAATAGAAATCTCTGTGCTTACATATTAACAGGTAACAAACTCTAAAAATATGGTATTTATGTATGTTATAACTTGAATTATGAAAATGATTTATTTCTGAACTAATCTAATTTTTGACATCCATCTCAACCAAGAACTTTTTGCAAAACTTGTCAGAATTCCAGCTGGCAGGATAGACAATTATTGGATGCAGTTATCAGTCAGTCGGGTAGAGAGTTTGTTTTTTTAAGCCTCAGGAGAGTTGTACATTTGATGACTTATCAAGTATCTTTGCAATTATAGTGCCTGATTGTGTAGCTTCTACAATTTTTCAGAAAATGCTCTATGTTACACATATAGGAAAGACCTATTTGTATCCAAAGTAAGGCCCTTATGCCTCTCATGAAGCTCATCTCCAAGAAGGTGGAATAATTGATAGGGATACTAGGCAAGTAGAGTACAGGTAGTGCTCAACTTACAGCTGCTTGTTTAGTGATAGCTGGTATAATTTGAAGTTACAATGGCAGTGAAAAAAGTGACTTATGACCATTTTTCACACCGACGACCATTGCAACACCCCCATAGTCATGTGATCAAACTCAGAGGCCTGGCAACTGGCTCATATTTATGACGGTTGCAGTGTCCTGGAGTCATGTGGGACAAAATTCACTTAACTACTGTCTCACTTAGCAACATAAATTTTGGGCTCACTTGTGGTTGTAAGTTGAGGATTACCTGTAATAAAAAGAGTATATTTCTGTATTTCACACTTGAAATATGTCCATACAGTAGTATTAGAAAATAGCAGGTTCATGCTAAAAGATAATGACTTTCATTGGATGAGTTTTAAAAAGTAACAAGATTTCTGTTTTGGATATCTTGTATGGATATCTGTAGTTCAGTCACTAAATTATGTCAGCTGTAACACATAGCCTCATAATATGACAGAGCATTGATAAAGAAAAAACAAATAGCTATAAACTTCTGGAGTTGGGAGAATAGTGTAAGATATAGTTAAAATAATCCTTACCTTCATTTTTTTAGACATTACTACTGGGAATTCCATTTTCTTTTTTGAGATTTCTCCTTTCCTCAATTTCATTATAGTTAGTGCATTTTTTTCTTACCCTGAATAATAAAAACACCAATCTCCATCACTTTGTGGAATTATTTTGCATTTACATTGTTCAAGGACAAAATGATTTTAAATTATAGGCATGGTAAAGAAAAACTGTGACATATCAGGTTCCCTGCTCCATTTAATTTTTTTCATTTGTGAGTCACCAAGTCAACATGATACAAAGCTTTTGAATGAGCAAACCTCATCTAACCATGCAACTACTGTTATTACAATAGTCTGTCAACATTTCAAATGTTCCTCAAAGTCTAAAAATTGGGGGGGGGGCATCTATTTTGGATATAAAAGAGTTTGGCATGTTTAACAAGCAAAAGAAACAGTAGATCATTCTTTCTCTAAGAAACCCCAAACAAACCAGACATTAAATTTGCAAGAATTAAAATAGATTAAAGTTTCAGAATTTCTGCATAAATAGAATGGTACGTCCAGTTGAACAATGGGAGGAGCAGTTTCCTACCTATGGCCCTGTAATTTAGATTTCAAATGATCAATAGGTTCCAAAAAAGCCTTGCAATGACACAATGCTATCACCTGAGGAGAACATTTTTGTTCCAATGTTTCACAATTTTGGGACTTCAAGAAATTTAAGGGAATGGAAGCATTTTATTTCTGCAGGACCTCACATTCCCATCCCCCATCTTTAGCATTTTTACCTTAAAGTCATACTTTAATGGCAAAATTGGGAATTCGGGGTGGTGGTAGGGAAGTTCAGCAGCACAGAACCAAAGCTTCCAAACTGTAATGACCAGTTTACATCGGAATCTAAGTCAAAATTATTTATTAAATGTTAAGATAGGCAATGTGTTACATGCATAATATTGTCACAAGGCCAGCATTTAGATGATAATGATGATTATTATGGATATACAACTCTATTTAAGGAATTCAGGACAAGGATAGGGTGGAGACTGGATTACTGTGTGTGCCACAAATTGCTAAAAAATAGGCTACAGTTTGAGCAAAATGTTAACACAAAGGATTGGGAAAAGGAGGCAACTGGGGAAAGGAAGTGATACAGGTTCAGTGCAGTATAGTTCCTCTTAGGATGAGAGCTGTGCAGGGGTGGAGAAATGATAGGGGCCAAATCCTTGCCACTGCAATTGTCACCAGATGAATGTTTAATTGAGATGGAGATTTCCTCCATGAGCTATAGGTTACAAGTATCATTGTGTGTGTCTGTGTATGTACAAACACACAAACATACAGTGGTCATAGTTCTGCAGTATGGAAACTTAGTTTATGTGGTCCTTGATATGAAATCTACAGGACCTCACAGGAAGTAGCTCAGTAACAGACTTTACATGATGGTGGAATGGGGAACCTGACTGATGTGCTGTTAAGATCAGTAGCAGTAGATAGCAGCTAAAACATTATTTCACAGGAGTGAAACTTAAAGCAATAAGCATTTGCTAATGGTCCCAAACATAAAGCTCAGTTAAATAAGATTAAACAGTGCTGAAATTTCACTTTTCTCCTGCCACTGAATTCTGTTACAGGACTATTTTTCCACAGTAAAACACAACAGCCAAAAACACAACAGCCTTAATTTATTAATTATTTGAAATAATTTTGGAAGTCACCAATCTACCATTTATTGTACCTTAATTAGGCTTGTCTGATACATTTACTTCATAGGGCTAGATCCAAACTAGTCATAGCTAGAGTAAACACTCTGAAATAATTAAACTTAAATGTTAAGTTTCATCAATTTCAAGCTTAATATATCTCATAAAATCAAAAGGATACACTAGCTGTTTCCATTGCTCATTTCTTATTGACTTAATGAGATAATCACCTGTCAAATATAGTTTAGTCTCCAGGATTATGATATGCTGAATTTCAGTGTGTCCATACTGGTCTGTCTGCTTACACTATTCATTATTTTATGATGTTCCTAATGGCTCTTGGAGGTAAAGTGAGGTAAATACTGCTCTACAAAATTGGCCCAATGTATTACTCCATATAATTAAAGTTAAGGATAGAGAAATAAAACTGAACTCAGTTTCGCATTTTTCCAATTTACATTTTTGTATCCTATTTCTGACTCAACCTACATATGTACTTTGATGTACATTTTCTCTAAAATACTATTTTTTGTGAAAGGTTTCTTAATATATATATTATAGCACATACTTTTCACTCGAGTGTACTGCAATATTCACAAAATGGAGTCACCAGTGTATGAATATAGTCACCATGTTTCATAAATGTATATTTAGAAAATATCAATTAGCACCAAAAATCCTAATTCTGGCAAGCAAGTTTACAAAACTTTAGTATTTTGTTGCTGAGTACATTAAGTATCACAGATATCTATCAGTCATTTTGCCACTATTTTATTACTTTTATTATTTTCCTTGGTTTAACTAGGGGGTTTAAATAACTTGACTTACTGTTCAGTGATGATAATTATAATGATGGCAAAACTGACCACCGCAAAGAAAATTGATGCTACCACAACTTCTATTTTTAAGACACTAGTTTCATTATTGGTCCTTTTTGTCTTCAAAAATTGTTCCACACAACGTTCACCAAAGTAATCTGGGTGGCATCTGAAAGTAAATCATGAAAATGCACAATTATTTTGTGCATCACTGCTAGTCTAAACCTTTTTGAAAACTGAAATGATGTTCAAAGTATCTCCAGGTACATCCACTGTATTCCGCTGCTTAATTCCCTCTGTGTTAGTTTCAAATTCAAACAATAGTTTCAATTCTTGATAATTTTGGTGGAAAGCATCAGGAAAGGCAGCTTCATTTTCATATGAGGCCATAATGCAACAACTCCAAGATCTTTTATGCATATAGTGGGACATTTTAGCTGACTCGGGGATATAGGTAGTCCTTGACTTATAACTGGCCACTTAATGACCATTTGAAATTATGATGGGCCCGGAATAAGAGTTTTGTAGCCACTTAGGCCATTGTAAAATGTCACACACACACACACACACACACTGCAGTCACATGACTGCATTTTGAGTATTTGGCAACTGATTTGCCTTTACAATCCATTGCAGTATTCCATGATTATGTGACATGATTTGTACCTTTTTTGCTAGTTTCTGGGGGGGAAAAGCCCATTCAGAAGAATAGGTTTGCTCTTACGACCGTGGTGCTCAATTAACCATCATGGATTTACTTAATTACCACAGTGATTTGCTTAACAATCACTGCAAAAATGTTGTAAAATCAGGCCCAGTCACATGGGTGTATCAGCTTACAACCGTAATGACTTACAACTGGAAATCCTGTCCCAATTGCGGTCATAAGTCGAGGACTACCTGTAGTAATATAACAACAGGAGCATTTCAGCTACAGAATAGTGCATGGAGCTTACGGATGTTAGTTCTCCTCCCCCCTACCCAAAAAATCCGGAAACTTGGTTCTGTCATTGGCATACGTTCGTTGGGCTTCTAGAGGTCTTTGATTTGCCCCTGAGGAACAAGAGGTTCTGGGAAAATCACAGAAATTCACTTCATGAGGTATATGCCATTCATCTGAGCAAAGGTCTAGCTAGCAGCACTCATCTCCAGATTCCTGAACTTTCATTGCAGCTCACTCGGTGATAAACTTCATTTGTTGCACTGTCATAAACCATAGTTTACAGCCATAAATGCCTGCTGCACATAACTCATCATACACCAACCAAAAAAATTACACCTTGTGAATTCAATCCAGATTAATGGAGGATATATACATTCAGGCAATATAGTGACCAGAGCCACTATATTAATTTTTATTTATGCTTCCAGAACATTGGTGGTTAGGGAATTACGGTAATATTTTTAGCAGATCCATATATTCTGTTTCATCACTCTATTAATAACTCTGTGAGAGAATAATACTTTCAAGTGCCATCTATGGTAACATATTAGTTATCAAAGTAGAGATACCAACAGTTTTATCAACATTTGCGATTTAACTTACGTGCAAACAGGTATTAGAAATTGTTCGATGTATCTGCATTCACCATGAACACAAAAACCTTTATATTTTCCTTCGCATGGAGTTTTAATTTTCCTTTTAGTTTTCTTCTCATTTCCTTTTCTTTTGGGTTTGTTAGGGTTCTTTTTTCCACCATCTAAATTTGCTGGATTCTTAATGGGTGATTTCTCTGTAAAAATATTAATTATATTTAATTTCTGCAGAGACACAGTGTGCTATTGTGATCAAAATGCTGGTCTAAGAGAAGGAGGACCTAGGTTATAGCAATCCCTGAGGCACAGAAACCACCTGAGTGACCTTGAGCCTTTCCGCCCAAAGGAGCAGAAAGCTGCCTGATAAACAAAACCCTTGTTGCAAATGCCCACTGACAGCTTCACTGTAAAAACTAGGTGAGCACTGTGCAAAAACAAGTGGACCCTGCATGAGGGAAACATGCCAAGAAAAACAACAAACTAAACTGGCATCTGTCTTTGCTGCAGTGAACTCACCGGAAAACATCCACTAGCCTTATTATATAAGTAACTCAAAGAAAGGGGCTTGGATTGGCTGAGAGATGGAGGAAAGATTTTAATCTCAGATAGCTATTGTTCTAATCATAATAATACTTTGATTGCAAATACAGTTATAAAGCTGTCATAATTGCAACCAAGCATATATATATACACACAATGGCTATGTTCATCTGTAGTGGTTATTTGTCATGAAAATCCATAAATTTTAATCAACTCTGGGATTTACCTTAAACAGTCCTAGGTTTGTATTTATTGGCCCGTAATGAACCATTAGCCCCATTAGCTATTTTATGCAAACACTGTAGCCTAGTAAAAGTAGTTGTCCACCCTCATCTACAAAGTTACAACTTGGAGCTCCTCTACAACATTTATCTTAAACGCAGTGAGTCAGTGTGGTTGGGGATAGCAGTCTTCTTTGCTATTGGTTTTCTTCCCTAGGATGCTGGACCACGATCAGCAGTGACCATGGTTTGTAGAAAGCTCATGGAATAGCAGGCATTTCCAGAAGAAAATGAATGGGAATCTGCATTCCCAAAATGACTTCTATGTGTGAAGACATATTGCCAGAACCATTGCTAATGATTAACTGGGTTAAGCATATTATGCAACTATGGTTTGTGCCAGTAATTCTACTGCAACAAGAAAACAAATTCAAGAAAACATGCAGTTTTCTACATGCTAAAGTCAATTTGCTATTCTAGTCAGTGAAATATCATGTTCTCATAATTAGAAGCAAGAGTTAGCTATATCTCTGGAGTGAACAAGAATAAGAAGAATTCATTGATGATCTTGATAAAAATAAATATTTAAGTAAAGTTTTGGTTTGGTGCAATTATTTCACATTTTTAAAAATTTCAAAAGCAGGAAAGAGAAATGGGATTTGTAATAACTTTTGTTTTTCTAAATGTAATTAAAGTCAGTGTGCAAAATATTTTAATATAGTCAGTCTTTTCTTATTTCTCTGTGCAATAAAGTCAAAATTAATAATATAAACACTACTGCTCAGCAATAAGATAAATTAAATAGACATTTAACAATTGTAATGAGGTGTGGTAATATGGTTAACCCCAAAGATATTTGCATTTCAGAGGGGTTTAAAAAATCAGAGTAGATAATTATGTGGTTTTAGACAGGGTTTCACAATGATCTGCCTATTCAAAAATGCATATTGTGGGATTGAGACTATGATTTGCAATGGATTTCTCATTTCTAATCAACATAAACAGTCTAAATGAATTATTCATCTCTCCCTGACATGATTCCACTTACAGGTAGGGTATAGTCAATTCTCTAGCTCAAAGGTGATTTGAAATCATAATGAAACATCTTCTGGTTTTGTTTAATAGCCTTTAATGTTAAAGCTTTATGGCCAACTCACAACACTAGCTACATTCACATGCAGCAGAACTCTAACATTTTGATGATTCTTGGTTATTATATATTGGTACCACATACCAACCTTGTGGTCCCATTTGGCTTTTCCCATCAGCAGGAGTGGTTAAACTACAAGGGGCAAGCAACCCGAGGGCCTCCTGATGTTTTGGACTTGAAATCCCAAGAGGCCTGCATGGCCAATGGTAAGGATTGTGGAGGTTGTAGTTCAAAACATCTGGGGACTCCAGGTTGTCTCCTCTAGCTTATCAAGTTGCTTGAACAGGTTCTCAAGGACATACAACCCTTGTCTTGGAAGAGGCATATTGGGTCAAAAACCTTAGTGAGTTTTTATCTCAGTTATTTTAACCCAGCTTCCCCACATCTAATACCCTCAAGATGTATTAAATTGTAACTCCAGTGTAACTACTGGGGAATGATGGGAACTTGCTGTTACTCAACTGGAGGGCATATAAAGGCTGATTAAGCTCTTTCTATAATAGAAGGACCTAAATAAGAGAGAACGAGTCAGGAACTCATGAATAATACACCAGAATTCTCCCTCATTACATATGAGCATAATCACAAAGTTGTAAGCTTGAATCCATTTTTCCCAAGTAATCCAAAGTAACATGGAATGATTTTTTCCCCAGTTTTATTTTCATAGCAGCCCTTTATGTTATATCTGACTTAGAGAGCATGATTGATCCGATATGTGTCAAAAATGTATTCTGTGAAGGAGGCATTTTCTTATTTGCAGTTTGTCAGGAACAGGTCTGGCAACCCAAGAGCTCCTTCCTGATCATACAGCCTCTGCTTATTATGCTCTAGCCCAAAAATGTGAAGGGTTGTGCCAAACCTTCTTGTTCTAGAAAAGAATCTGTTTTTCTATTTAAATTACCACATCAATAAAGTCTGTAAACACCATACATAACTCTTTATAACTTCTTTCTGGGAAGGAAGTCAACTAACCTGTGATCAGATGTACATCTAGGGAAGAACTATGGTTAATTTGTCATCCTAAAATAAATGATACTAATTCCTTGTTAAAACTTTATTCTACATGAATAAGATAACTAAACTAACCTATTCAACAAAAATATTTACTTGAGTTAATGTCCATGGTTTAAAAAGTGTGATGCAAATATTTGTTTATACATCATTTTTCTTAAGCGCCCATCTCCAACCTTTTATCATCAATAAAATTAAATTAAAATCAGAATAATGTAGGATTAAAGGCTTTAAAATTTTGAAAAATTATAAAAAATTCAGAAGATGAAGAATTCCAAGACTGGGGAGTAACAGTTTTTAATACAAACAGGAAAGGGACATTTCGCATGGGGCCAGTCAACCCCATGGTTGTGTGGGCCTTGGGTTAACCACATTTTGACTCCATTATGTTATTGTAATTAAAATCCATATCATTTTTCTCTTGCATTTTGTCTGACAAATACTTATTGGGCAACATTAATATTTTTATCCACAACTGCTTTAGGCTAGAGATGTACATTGATCCTAAGAATTCTGAGTGTTTTCACTGCCTGTTCTTCTGTCCATGTTCACGGGTATCCTAAGCATGACTGAGAAGTAATAATGATGCTTGTGGCACTCACCCAGTGAATGCACAACAAATAACATAGCAAACCAGGGCCATCTGTGGTTTGCTACCCCCTCTCCTTTTTGGCTGATATCTCAAAAATCTTGGTACACTAATTGATACTTCCTGTTCCTTTTTCAGTTTTTGCAATCAATACTGAACATCTGTGAATAGAATGGGGGAAAGCTAATGTTTCCCCTTGTTTCTAAAACAGAGGTAAAAAACAAAGACGAAGCAGTTGGAAATGCTACTCCAGAACCAGCTCTGCTAAAACTACTGTAGCGCAACCAACATAAACATGCAATTATTAACTCAAATGATTTATAAGAAAGATATTCAATTTGACTCAATTAGAAAAAAATGTTTATGAGCCAAATACTTTGAAGCTTAAATACATTGGCTTAGGAAATATGAGTATATATTAATGACAATAAATTATATTCATATTCCTAAGAAATAATATTTGATTGAATTTCTGATTTTCTACATTCTGATAAATTGATCCAATCTGATTTTAATATCTAAACTCTAATTTTGTCATTCACATTAAGTATCCATCAATAAGTCCAAAGAGAAAATATGCCTTTTTCTTATGGAAATGGAAAAAATGGAAAAAAGTCCATTTTATTATGAATATTCCTTCTTAATATTGCAAATGAAAGCCCAAATAAAGTAGAATGGAATGGCTGATACTAAACTACTTCAAAAGAAATATAAATCAGAAAAAGATTAATTCCCCCTAAAGTTATATCAGAGGAAATAAATTCAGGTTTTATTTTGAACATGTCTCAAAATTAAATTTATTTTTATTGACATATTTTATTTGTTTGTTAAATTTATTTGGGACCCATCTCACTGTGGGGCTACTCTGGCAGCTTACAAGAATAAAATGGAAGAATTGATAAAATTGTAAACATGACAATAGTAAAGTAATGAAACAATACAAATAAACAATGAAAGTACAACAATATGAATTAAAGATGGTTGGATGGGGGGCAGGAAGTGCAGGCAGGAGGTGGGGTCAGTTAATTAGTCCAATAACCACCTCCAGTGAGGTTCTCTCCCATAGGGTCCCCAGGCCAACTGGCAGACCCGCATCTTCAGATCCTTCCAGAAGGACAGAAAGATGGGGGCAACCTCATGGTGGGAGGAAGAATTAAAATGTTCTGCAGAACCAGCGTTACAGCAGAGAAGTTTCCTTTATATGATTTATGCACCTCTTTGTTTTGCTGGCAGATGCTTATCTCTTTCTAACTTGGAGCCGTAGTGGCAAAGTGGTTAGAATGCAGTATTGCAGGCTGATTTTGCTGACTGCCAGAGTTCGATTCTCACCAGCTCAAGGTTAACTCAGCCTTCCCTCTTTCCAAGGTCGGTAAAACAAACACCCAGATTGTTGGGGGCAATATGCTGACTCTGTAAACTGCTTAAAGTACTATGAAACGGTATATAAGTCTAAGTGCTATTGCTAGTGCTATTATGATTTTGAAGAATCAAAATAAACAATATAGTAATATTAAAAAGACTTGTTTTATGTCTTCAAATTTCCATTCACTCCAATACATATTACATGGGGGTTTGGACAAAGTATGTTTATAGTGCAGGTTGGATAATCTAATACAATATAGATTATTTAAAAACAGAAGATTATATTTCATTTCAGTATTCCATTGTTTGTTTGTTTTTTGAAGATTTAAATCTCAAGGCGACAGTAAAATCCATTTATTTCTTCCTCAGTAAATAAGCTTCATTTTGGTCAAAAAGCAATTTTTACTACAGTGAGAAGTTGAAACCTGCATGGTGAACACAGTAATTGTATACTATTAACTATTTGTAAAAAAAACAACAACAACGTTCTGGGATTTTTAGCTTCACCAAAGTTTCTTGAAAGACATATTTTTTCAGAGCTTCTTGAAGCACATACTAAGTACCAAATACTAAAGTTCCCAGGATATCTTGAGAAAAATAGATTGGTTGTAACATTATCTTAAATTTATATTGTAGAGGTATGGTTGGGGTTCAGAAACCAACTTCATCCTTTCATCCAAAATGTACTTCTTTCTTACTAGTGTGAAGTCCTTGCCAATGATATATATGCTATAGAAGAATCTTCAAATTCTTGGAAAATGCTACCCAATCATTCAGATGATTAATATTATAATAATCGTTTAACAACAAACATGTGACTATTGATTTATTTAGAAAGGGGAAAAAAGAGACAAAAACCCAGCATTTTTCATAAAGACTCCATTGTGCAGATATAAGTTTATTAAATACCTTCTTAGACATATCCATTTTCTGGGATCCTTGGTGCTCTCTGAGCTTTGTGGCTTTCTTGCAGACATTTCATTACCAAACTAGATAACATCATCAATGCTCTGAGAAGCATGAAGTGCTCTGAGTTACCTAGTTTAGTAATGAAACATCTTCAAGAAAACCACCAAGTTCAGAGAGCATCAAGGACTCCACAGTTCAACCCTGGGCTATAAATATTCTCTTCCATGGTACATCCATTTTTATCCGCAATCCATTTTATCTGGATTGCATGGATAAAAATAAAGAATAGGGTTCTACAAGAGTAAATTCTAAGAAAGGCCTTGCCTTATTAGAAGAAACAAAGCAACAGCTCTTTATAAAAATTGCATTGGTGCCTCAGTCCCAAATGAGAGGAACATGATGGGCAAGCACTCCATATTTTAACCTACCTCTTCCTGCATCATTCACAAGGAACTGAGATTCTCTCACTTCCTTCACATTATCTTTAGCCTCTTCAGCCTCAACTCCTGATGATAATCGATCAGTGGAAGATATGTTGAATGTGTTGAAGTTGGGCATGCTTTGCTCATCTTTTGTCACATTTAGCCCTGATCCAGAAGCATGCTGGTAGACTGTGGAAGAGAAATGAAAGAAATGGATACCATTCTACCCAGTCAGGCAAAACTAGCAGAGAGGTGTTTATCTGAAAATTACACTTGGCAGCTATTGCACATGTAGTTACTCTTATTCCCACAGTGAGTCATTCAGAAAACAGCTCTCAGTTTTTCTAATGTGAATTTGTTTAGATTTGCCCCAGAACTTTAAAATTACCTGGCCAACTTCCAGGTTATTGCATTCCATTAACCAGAATCTAAGCAACTGTTTTTAAAGAAATATCAATCTCCTACAGTGAGTACTAACCTGAACTAAACATATACTTTTAACAAAAACCACTTCGGAGAACATAGAATTGAGTGGCAATCATGATCGCCAGAGGATTCATCCATTTCCCCCCACCCCACCCCACCCATCTTGGAAATGTGAAGTGCTGGCTGTAGTTCTGCACTAATATCCTCAGAGAGGATATTATTTTTCTCAGAGAGATTAATCAGTCAAATAGGCATCTTTGCACAGGAACAAATTATATTACACAATGGATTTGACCACACAAATACCCAGTCATTCTGATTTAAAGTTTGCAACATGCTTTATCCTTTTCTAAAATCATAATCTAAAATCATTCAGTATTTAAAATTCCTCTAGATATGAAATTACCATTTAAAACCTGAAGACTCACTAAGAATCACTTTGAATTAAGCTCCATTCAACACTGTGGGGTGTAAACAATGCCTCTTAATTCAAATCCTGCTTCAGACAATATGTTCTCATCACCCTGATTTCTTTAAAGTAGAGGAAAATAAGAGTGCATTCTTTTGTGATTTAATTTGTGGAAAATAAACAAGAAGCATCCGCAGCAAAAAAATATTGTTATTGCAAAACCTACAAGGGTACAAGGAAACTTAGGCAGGATCAGACCGAGAGAGAGCTGGGTTGTAATTCCGCATTCAGCAAAAAGATCTCCAACTTTGTGACTTAGCCAAGCTGTTCTTAAGAGGATCCTTGCGCCATAAGGTGAAAGAGAGAAATGGGAAGTATGGAAACGGGAGGTAAAATAAAGATAAACTCAATAGACCGAATAACAAATACAGCAACGAGATTTTTAGGATAGTTTCAATGAGGCTCCCATCGCACCTAAGCGACTTTTCAAATACCTAAAACGACACAGACAAATTGAGAAGTGGGGAAGAGAGAAGAAGTTGGCAGAAAACGAAGAAGGTACTCCCTCCCCCCTCCCCCGCCGCTGCGCCTCAGCCTTTCGGGCGCCTCCTATTTCCAAACCGCAGTGTAGTTCCACCATAACTTTCCGAGAGTGAAAAAACCGGAGAAAGCGGCCCAATTCAGAAAACTGTAGCGAGCTACGGTCCTAATCCCAGCAACGCACCACTCTCCAAATCCCGAGGTCAAGCGCCCTCGGTGTGGCCGCCGAAGCTTTGCGCCCCCTCTGCCCCGCCTCTCGACAGGGTCCGCCGCTCGCTCGCTCGCTCGCCTATCCGCCCACTCACCTGGACTCTGGAGCAGCGGGAGGAGGAGGAGGAGAAAGAGCGGGGCACGCATTGAGGGGAAAGGAGCGTCCTCGGGGACCAGTTTGCCTAGCAAAGAGTGGGCGAAAAGCGCGCTGAAGCGGTTGAGGAGGACTCCCTTGGCGCCTGGCGTATTTTAAGCTCGGAGAGGCGAGACACTCCATACCCATAGAGCGAGGGATATATATGCAGTGCCGCCGCCACCACTGAGAGGCCAGCAGCCAGGCAGGGCGGTCAGATGAAGCTCGACGTCAGCCGGGTGGGGAAGGAAACAGGTGCGCCTCGGGTCAGTAGACATCACCCAGTTGCGTGTGGCGCAAAGAACGAGCAGGTCGCGGAGGCGGACCGGCAGCGGCAAGATGGAAAGCCGTCGGATGAGTCAGCTAGGGTCACGCTCTTTACTTGTAGTCTCGAACGGCTGTAGACGTCTTCTCAGGTATACAGAAGTGGAAGATCGACTAGATGAGACCCAGGGAGCTGAAGGATAAGGCCGTTCAGTAGCCCTTTTGTGTTCAGAATGGATTGTCATGGGACTTGGGGAGATTCCAGCCACATTTTTCTTTCCAGGCATTTTTTCCTCTAGCATTGTGGAAACAGTAACTCTGTTTTAAAACTTGGCAATTTTAAGATGCATAGACTTTAGCTCCCAGAATTCCCCATGCAGCCCTGTAGCTCAAGAAGCAATCTGAAATGACTAAAAAAGTGGAAGGAAGAAATTCCCCATCTTCACATTATTTCCCTGTGGGAGGCAGCTGCACTGTAGTTGAGGATCACATCATACTTTTCATCATCCACTGCATAGTAGCATAAGATATGTTCTGAGTTGCACCTAACCATGGTACAACTATAGCCTGGTAATATCATTGGCTGCCTTGTCAGGATGCTGCCCTCATCTCTCTAGTCTATGAACGAGACAGACCATAATAACCTTTATCTGGCCCAAGGATAGCCATGAGTATAAAAAATGGCCTAATTGCAACTGCCAGTTTGATTTTTGTGCCTCCCCATCAGGATATCCCTGGCTGCAACATTAAAATAATGTTTTCCCCATATTATGAAACTATCCAAAGGCAGCATGAAGGTGTGTAAAACCTGTCAGGTTTTGTCATATGCAAGCTCTACCTGGGCACTACAGGTACTGGAAAGAGACAACTGAGCTAAGATAAGAACTGGCAATGGGGGCAGCAAATGTCATTCTGGTATATTTTTGATGCTGATGGGCTCAAGGTTGACTCAGCCTTCCATCCTTCTGAGGTTGGTAAAATGAGGACCCAGATTGTTGGGGGCATTATGCTGACTCTGTAAACCACTTAGAGAGGGCTGTAAAGCACTGTGAAGCAATATATAAGTCTATGTGCTGTTGCTATTTTCTTCCAGTTCTGTAGGCAGTACTGTAACTTGACAAAGAAAAAAGACCCATAGTATTAGTATTTGAAGCACATGCAATTTAGCATTTATAATTTATAAATGACCATGATAGCTTTTGATGCTGTTGACACATATACATCTCGCAAAGAGTGTCCCTGAAGTTGGACGCAATTGCCTAAGTACAGTAGCTGCTTCCAATGTTACAAGACTTATTTTGACTATTGGAAGATTTATTTAGTTTATTTAGTTCCACCACTCAAGGTTCTTCGTTTCTTTTGCTATCCTGACGCCTCAATTCTTACACATTTTTATTTGAAAATAAGCACCACTTAATATTATTTCTTAGACATAGGAAATACAAATGTGTGTTTTGTGTGCATATGTGTGTGTGTGTGTGTAAAAATTGTAAAGTGAAAATAATGGGCATCTATATCTAATAGCATAATGGCTGGTCATCCTCTAATTCTAACTCTTTATACATTCAAGATGTAACAATGCTATATTGAGCATCAGGATACAAGCAAACAATGTGATTCCAGCAACATGCCTATGTGCCAAGGTCAGGTTTATTTGACATTGCTCCCATTTTCTGCTGTTTCTTTGATAGTCCTTTTATGTATATTAGGTTCCTTCTCTTTCTGTTTCTGTTCCATCCTTGTCTTAGACTTCAACTGGGCCCTTATAGTTGACCCCCCTATCTTAGTTCCTTCTTGACTCTTATTTTTTGAGTCCAATCTTCATTGAGTGGAAAATCTGTAGCACCTTGTCACAGGTTCCTTTATGTATACATGTTAATGAGCTCCAAAACTCCAAGAGAGCCAACCCAACCCCACCTGGCCTCTGGGCTACACACCTGCGAGTGTTCAAAGGCTAGAACTCACAGTTTACTATACCACTCTTCCCCTATTCTACTACAACTTCTGTTCTTCCACTATTTCTCTTTATGAAGCCTATTTCTAGAGAACAGTAACTCTTCCATTTGCCTGTGTTGTTGAAGGCTGTTTGAGTTTCCCCAAACTAACACAAATTGCCTTCCCTCACATTAAGACCAGGCAGCCCCCAACTGCCTCTCTACTCAGCCTTTATAGAAACACATGTGCTGGACTGGTTAAGGGAGAGGTCTTAAAAGGACAGGGCACCAGCAGACCAGATCCTAGCCATTTTGCAGGCAATCTCATAATCCCTTAATCTAGTCCCTGGCTTTTGTCTCCAAATAACTTCCTTGAGTTTGGTTGGATGTCTGGTGACAATGTAGATATAAAGTCCATCCCAAAAAGAACGCCCTATTGTTTTGTTCTTGAAACTTTCCATCACCTTTCCTTGAGGTTAACGAGAATGGCTACAGACACTTGATGCATACAAAATGGCTTTCATTTCTTTCCTGGCTGGGAAAGATTCATTTTAGTAACCCTAGAAAGTCCAGCCAAAATAGACAGAATAAGCAGGAGCTTCACTTATATGAGGCATCTTTCTCTTTTCCATTCCTCCTGTGTCATTTTCCTCTAGATATAGGTTACCACATTTTCTTGACCTATAAATGGAAACACTAAATTTGTGAAGGGGAGGGATCAAAGATCTAGGATGAACTGATGCCATATTTGTTATTGTGTGTGTTTTGAATTTTCAAAGCAGCATTAATCTTCTGTCAAAGTAGGCATTAATATACTGCATTTATTTATCAAGCTTAACCTATTACTTTTCAGCCTAGGGCTTTGACATACTCAAATAAAATGTAAAAAATAAATAAAATAAAATGTAACAGACTTTGTTTGGTCAGATCCTGGTCAGTTAAATTGGTGGCTAAGAACAAAAAGAGAATTCTAGTGTAATAATAATTCTATATCTCTGGAATGCAAAGTAAGCAGAGTATATCTTTCATGCACAATTTGCCAAGGTTTTGGCAACAGAGGGTGGCTAGTTGCAATCTAGAGTCATTAAATTAGGGTGAACTAGATCAGAATAAAAACATAAGTATGTACTATTGCAAACAAAAGAACTGAATTGTAAAATGGCTTCAATTTTGTTAAATCAAGGAAATATAATTAATAGTGATTTTGAGTACTCTTCATAAGATAATCATATGTTTCTGTTTTTGTTCACGTTTCAGTTATATTTCAGGAGGGTCCAAATTCTTTAGTAAGTTTATTAGCTGTCAAGGAGCCATGGCCAAGCTGTTGCTGTAAAACATCTCCATATAAATGTTGACTTTAGGCTGGCATTCTTACAGTACAGTTCTTTGATGTAAGAATTCTTTCTAAGGGCTATTGTCAAATACTTGGTGATTGAGGCAAGCAGCAGGGATGACGGGACATCCCTGCCTCATTCACCTTCAGAACTGAACAATAGAAACTGCTGATTATTAACCTTCACCATATGGTTTTAATAGTAACTTGTTCCAGGACAACAAATGGCACATAGCTTCTTTTTTAATAATTTTACTATTCCATTGTCAAAATCTTTCTGAAAATCATATCATGGTCAGCTGCAAACTCTTGACTAGGTAAAAAGTATTGATGACTGGTCTTAAATTTGTGATTTAGGGATGGCTAGATATCTATCTAAATTTTTTCAGACTGATATCATTAATGATAGGAAAGCAATGCACTCTAACTCTTCAGAGATTGAAAAGATTGGGCTTTGGAATATGAATCTTTCCCAAGTATATTCTTACTCCAATTCTTACTCCTATTCTGATTGTATTGTGAATAAAACCACTGACTTCCTCCACTGAAACTGCAGAACAGTCTTCTGCAATTTGTAATAGCTCCTTCATTCATTCACAAGTCCACACTTGTTCCTGAATGCTCAATGTCTGCTCTACAAAATGTATGGAAAAATATTTGTGTGCCTTAATTAAGATTCTAATTTCTTTAGATTAATAGTAGAATATCTCCAATGTTTTCAATATAATTATTACATGTCCTTCCAATTCCCATTGGAAATAAGCTTTTTCCTAGGTGTTTATCTCGGCATCAGTAAAGTTTGATAAAGTTTATCAAAGATTAATTGTGGGATTTTTGATCTCATAAAATTTGTTAATCCTTGTTGGTGTTCCTAGAGCTAAAAATGCTTCTGATCAAATTTAACTGTCAATATATTTTTAGTTGAAAATATTACCAGTAGTTAGCACAGGAAATGGTGAAACTAATTAATCTGCAAACAATCCTAGCATATATTCAAATTTTCCATATTTGTTAAAAATCAATTTTAAAGTCTGGTTAGCTCATAATGCAGATTTAGCATGAGAAAATATATCAAAATTCAGTTTTTCAGAAATTCAAGATCAATTTGGTCACTAGGGCTTATAAACAAAGCATGGTTAAAAACACCTGGCTTAGTAAATGAATGGAGCCAGTATTCTCAAGGATAGATTCCAGAAAATTATTACCTAATTTTTTTTACTGCAAAATCAAAGTTTCCTTGAGCTTTATAAGACTGTATTTTTAAATATATATATATATACTTTGTATGGTATTTCAAAGTTTATTAACTTAATGATGAATATATTGTCTTTGAGGCATGTAATATATTATCAAATTATTCAAAGCTTTTCCTGACAGTAAGAGTTAGTTATACAAAACCATTTAGAATTTGAATTTTATCACACATTCAAAACACCATGTGAATAATAATTTTCATTTGGAGGTCAGTTTGTTGTACTCACTCATGGTGCCACATTAGAGAAGTAAGTTGTTCCTAAACAAACTTCTCAGTTTATTTAGTTTGAAGGACAATTGTGTTATTGGTCAGTAAACATTCCTATATAGTAGGGGTGTCAAACTGCTGGCCCACAGGCTGGTTGCATCATTGCTTTTCCTTCATGGGGTCACCAGATATACTAGGAAGCATACAGTTAAGAATCTAATTTA